TTAAGATAATGTTTTTCTTTCCTAATCGTGATTGAGCGACAGTAATGCTAGGATGGGTGACCCCGTAGAAAGTCCTCGTGTTGTATCTCTCTTTAAAATAGTGGGGGATATAAAAGGGCATCGCCACTAGACGGCAAACTTTTATATATATAAAAAAAAGATAATATTTTTTCCCTAAATGGACAAGTATATAAAGATATCAAATAAAACTCCATGCAAAAGGGTGCCTAGTACTTATGCAACTTTGGGGATTAAAAATTAAATATTTTATAATTATTGTACGATAAGGGTATGAGATACTAAATTTAATTAAGTGAATCTTATTAAACTAATTGCCATATCTTTGAACAAGACTTTTATATTTTATTTTATTTAAGACGTTGAATTGACATGAAAAAGAAGTATTATTCTTCAACTACTCCTTCAAGCTGTCAATTTTGTAGTAAAAAGGGCTTTTTACGTTTCTATTTGGTATAAAATTTATATAATTTTATATATATATATATATATATATATATATATAATACTATATATTATATATATTATTATATAATATATACAAAAAAAATATTCTTTTGGCTATTTTTTAGAGCGGCTATACAGTGTCATTTTCCTAGTAAAATAGCCGATTTGGCTAAATTATTTTCCCTAATAAAAATTATTTATTTAAGAAGTATTCCTTGTCAAAAATGAGTTTCAGAAAACTACTTTAGATTTGTAGTTATATGCGTTGATCAATTTTTTGAGAAGTACTTTAGAAAGGTAACTAGGACTCACCTTGAAGTTTGATCAATTCTCTCCTTTTTGAAATATATTTTCTTGTCTATAATTAAGAATAGAAGTCCCACTAATGCTACAAATAGTTTTATTTAATGTTGATTTAATTTAATAACTAATCCATAGTTGATTTGAATTATTCTTTGAAATCCTCTTTAAAGTATAAAGTTAGGGACGACTCCTCTAAAGTTCGTCTAGGGACAAGATAACATATCCTCGTAGAGAACTAGCCAATTATAGCCAAAACGGCAAAAAACTTCTAACTTGTTAAGAAACTAAATCAAAATAACAATATGAAACAAGAAAATAAACAAAAATGGAGAGAGCAAGAGATAAGAGCTTCTTATTTCTTTCAAGTATCAAGTGTGTACAATATCACTTCCCATCCTCTATTTATAGTATTACATAGAGATATACAAAAGAATGCCATAAACATGACATTAAACATTTGAGATCATGGAGGAAGATCATGGTGAGGTTATGGAGGTGTGGGGATTACAACTATTCATGATTAATATTGTATTTACTACTTTTTCGTATTTTATAGTGCCAGATCTATTTAGTGGCTATCGCTTTTGCTTTTCATCGACTTTCTGGTCTTTATGATGTTGTTATTATTTCTATGGTATCTGTTGGTGGTACTATATTATCTCTTTTCGTCTTCTTGAGCTGAGGGTCTTTCGGAAACAGCCTCTCTACTCTCTCAGGGTAAGGTAAGGTCTGTGTACACACTACCCTTTCCAAACTCCACTTGTGGAATTTTACTGGGCCGTTGTTGTTGTTGTATGGAGAATACTCGAATTCAGAAAAGTGTAATTAACTCCAAGTGGCAAGATGGATCTAGAAGGTTGATTACGGTTTCTTGTGGATTCAAATTAAAAATCTACTAAATATTTATTTAATATATGATTATTGTCACGACCCAACTACCATGTCATGATGGCGCCTATCATGGTACTAGGCAAGCCGACTCTTTACCAAAAATAACTCTATATTTCAATTTAAGGATAACTTCAAGCTATTTAATAATAAAAAAACTTCATAAAGAAAAATCTGAATAATGAAAGTGCAGAAAGAAAAGCCCGACATCGGGGTGTCACTAGTCATGAGCATCTACTAAAATCTGTCCAAAATACTGAGACTAAAACAGTCTGGAAAATGTAACTACAAACAACTATAGGAAGATATGAGCGAGAAGAATAGGGATGCGATTGCCAGCAGCTACCTTGCCAACTCCGAGATGAGTCTACAGCTGGACTAGTCAATAGCCGCTACCGGGTCCTCATACGCCTAAATCTGCAAATAAGGTGTAGGGAGTAACGTGAGTACTCCAACACAGTAAGTAACCAAAGTAAATAAAGGCTGAGAAGCAGTGACGAGCAATAAAGCATATAAGTTCATATCATGAAATCTCAGTAAAAGTACAGCAGGCTTTTAAAAGAAGAGTTTGAATCAAATCATTTCGTTTAAACTCAGTTTCAGTAAAAATCATTTGAAGATATGTTTTCAACAGTTCTCAAACAGAGGCTCAATGCAACAGTGAGCAAAAATGATGGAATCATAAGCAGCCCCTCGGGCTAAACATCACTCATAAGCAGCTCATCGGGCAAAACATCACTCATATACAACCCCTCGGGCAACCTCACAGTCACTCGTATACAGCCCCTCGGGCATACCTCACATCACTCTCACTCAGGGTACCCGCGCTCACTGGGGGTGTTCAGACTCCGGAGGGGCTCCTTCAGCCCAAGCACTATATCAAGCCATCTCGTGGCATAAATCAATCAGGCCATCGGCCTCATCAATCATGAATAAGTAACAACATGCTGCGGCGTGCAGCCCGATCTCATAAATATCCTCACAAATCAGGCCCTCGGCCTCACTCAGTCATAAACCTCTCAAGTCACTCGGGCTCTCAGTAAAAATAGGGTACTCAACCAAAAACAATATTTTATATGCATCAAAACAGAATAATGAATACTGAGTTATGAAATCAATAAGTGTAACAAGACTGAGTATAGATTTCAACCAAAAACGGTGAAAGGATAGTAAGAGAAGGCCCCTAAGGGTCCAAACAGCTTTGGCACAAGGCCCAAATATGACATTCAACTCAATTTACAGAAACTCTTTCTAAAACACATAAGTATTATATAGTTTCAACCAATCCCAACGGTTCACGCCCACACACCCGTCACCTAGCATGCGCGTCACATCAAAATAATAAAACGATACGAAATCCGAGGTTTCATACCCTCAGGACTAGATTTACAATCCTTACTTACCTCAAACCGGTGATGGAAAAGCTAAAGTAATTTAGAGTTTTTTGTCAAGGTGTTTCTTGCCTAACCTTGTAGTCTAGCATGCCTAAGGTTAAGTAGGTACTAATCATGGCACCACTAGCTCTTAGGATTTCGCGTTCTTTCAGAATTTGTCAATTTGTTGCAAGTAATTGAAATTTAGTCAATATAGTATCTTTCTTTAGAGTTGATGGATTGGTTGCTGGAGTAGTGCGATAATGAGTTGAATCTTTTTTGACTTGACTTTGTGTTATTGTGTTTGACATTTAACTTTAGGTGTGGCCGTAAGTATTTGCGCATATGCCCGTGCATGGCACGGGCGCACACCATCTAGTTCACTCATTAAGAAAAATAAAATAATTACTAGACGAAAAATGACAATCTATATTAAATCCTACACCATTCAAGGTGTTTCTACAGGAGCTTTTGGTCCTATTCAATTCTTTAGATTCCAAGCGTCAAGGAGCTAAGAGCAAATAGACTCGCTAGAAAGAAAAATAATCAGTACACTGATTCTGCCACAAAAGAAATGAATAGCTTCAACGTCAACCAAATTTTAAACAAAAAAGTAAAGAGGAATCTGAAATCTTCGCGAAAGCTCGCCTAAAACGTCATATCCGAATAAAGTCCACTGAGGTCCATTTCTAACATGCTTCGACATCGGCAGTGATTTGTACAGCACCAGAAAATAGGAAGTCTTTTACCTCAAATATGTTTCGGGGGATAATTACAACTTAATGAGAAGATGAGGCAATTTCAAGAGGTAAACCTCAAAAAGATTAAGTCCCGCAAAAAAGACACTTGTTGATTTGAGTAAGACCTTGCTCCTTTTAGAACGAGTCAAGAAGACTTNCAAGTTAAATTATTTCAATTTTTGAAAGTTATTAACTTTTTCTACAAAGTAAAAATATTTAGACTAAATTTCAAAAATTTCTTTACAGTTTTTATTTTACACAAAATTATTGTAGATTATTATATTTTTGTAAATTCGCTTTCTGGACGACTAAAGTTTGAATTCAAAAAAAAATGAAAAATTTCGTCGCAAAAATAAATTGTAAGTAGATATATTGCAGTACGTTCGTGGCGACTAAAGCAAATCGCCAAAATAAGTTGTACACGAAAACCTTATAGTAGGTCGCAACTAATCACCGTAACTTTTTTATTCCTTTCGTAACTCTAACAATAACAAACAGGGAAAAATTCAAAAATAGTCAAATTTACAAGTGGTCGTTCAAAAATAGCCCAGTTTCAAAAGTAATCGAAATTTAGCCACTTTTCATGTAAAGATAAATTTGAGCGAAAATACTGTTCAAAACCCGCAAAATACGCCAGTATATTATGCTCTGGAGTTCCAGCATAAATATACTTGAACTCCAGCATATTATACTGGAGTTCCAGGATAAGTATACTGGAGTTTCAGGATAAGTATGCTGGAACTCCAGCATAATATGATGGAGTTCCAACATAAATACACTAGAACTCCAGCATAATATACTGGAGTTCCAGGAAAGTATACTGGTCCAGTATAATATGCTGGAAGTTCGTACACAAGTGCTCGAATCTCCAGTATATTATGCTGGAACTTTCCGTGTGTTGGAGTTCCAGCATAATATGCTGGAAGTTCTACACATGTGCACCGAACTCCAGTATATTATGATGGACCGGTTTCTGTTGCAGCAAAATAGTGACTATTTTTTATTGACTTAGTAAACGCTGGCTATTTTTGAATGACCAGTCCGAAAACTGGCTAGACCGTGCTATTTTTACTAACAAACATGAACATGAGCTTATACATGTTTAACGGGCGGGCTTGGACGGGCTGAACGCGAAATACTCCAGCCCGTTCGGTTAGCGGGCGGGCTGTTTAGCGGGCTGGGATAACGGGCTGGGGGGGGGTCGGGAAATTTCGGGTTATTTAGGGCCCGTTCAGGTTCGGGCTAAACGGGNATTCAACTCTGCGAGTAACAGCTGAGGCTCTGGATCCAAGTAACTAAAGGGAAAATAAATTTTAATACACTAAAATAACAAAGACAATTAGTGGGAGCATGTGTTGAAAGTGCCAAAGACATGAAACGAATAGTTAGAGGTAGTAGGACTAACTTCTCAACATCCTTTTTGTTTGTAACAAGATCCATTTTTGAGAGAATGTTAACATGGGGTAGTTCAAGTTGAACCATAGCAGAGAGTGAAGCCATGCAACCACTTATGAATTTGGTCACATCTGTGATAAACTGAGATACAAAAAGAACATAAACGCCATGGTTAATAGCAGAGGAAGGAAAAAGAGAAGAAGAAAATCAACTAGTAAAGATCACGCACCTGAGAATCAAGTAAATACACAACACAAACATTAAAATTTTTACGCCTTAGGTGTTCCACAAAGTTCTTCAGCACAGGAACATGTGAAAAAAGTTCAATCTGGCCTGTATAATGATGAAATGTCAGAGTACTCTATATGTGTGCGCGTGCATCTGGGAGTGCATGTGTGCATTTCTTTCTATAAGTACATAAAGATTTACGAGATAAGAATACAGGTCAGTGTAGAAAGTTAGATTATGGGTAGTCATAATAGGAGACAGATGGCCGAGCAACAACATAACAATGTAGAAATCATGTTAGGAAACTTAGAACAATTTTCCAAAGTTAAGGATAAGACGAGTGCAATGGACTAATGTGGAATTGCTGCATCATTTTTATCCTTCAATGACTTGAAGCAAGAAGAAGAGGGAACACCATGTCTACACAGCCTTAGGATGGAGAGATGGAGCCCACGGAGTGGAAAAGGAAGGAGTTCTTAGTCTGACGTGAGCCTTTAAGTAATGCATTAAGAAAAAAACAGGATCTTATGTTCTCATCCTGTATCTAAGACTGCTCCATCATTGTCCAACGGAGTAGAAGGGTCTTAATCACATAAGTTGCATCAAAGAGTAAATATATCTGAACATGCAATGTTCATTCTCTGAAAATGTACACAAGGTGGAAGTCGTGGACACAAATAATGACATCAAGAATTAGTATCTGAAAATTAATTCAGGTGTTTTGATACAAATGTTTCCAGTATAAAAATTAGACAGGTATCTCACAAAATTAGGCAGGTATCTCAAAATTAATTCAGGTGACTTGATACAAATGTGTCCAGTAGAACAACATTCTGAAATTAGTTAACAAGAAAGAAACAGCTAGCCCTTGATTTCAATCCATGAACAATCTAAGGGGCAAGATTCTGTAAAGACAATTCCAAGGAAAATCACAACTGATAGTCAAGCCCTCGGAGACTCTCCACCACCTGTATGTCCCTATAGTATTTACTCACATGAAGTTATGTTGGCAGTATTCTAGGTTAATATCTTCGCCTGCTAGCAAAATTCAGTAGTCTACATCGGAGAATTAGTACTGTACTGCTAATATAAGAACAAATAGGAGCGGAAAATGTACAAGTACCTGGGCAGTCAAACACTAGGTAGTCATCATCCAAGTAGTTGTCCAACTCTTCTGTCAGCCACTCATCCAAATTTTCTTCGAGATGTCTGATATAACCATCAAGGGCTTACAATTTTGACAGGACAAAAACAGGATTTTATTTTCATACAAAAGAAACAGAATTCTGAAAATGAAAAGCCTCTAAAGGAAGGATACTCCATGCAATACATAAGGCCACCATTTGGTCCGAGACCTAGTTCTTCCATAACATCATCCAGTGAGATGAGTTCTCTGATGTCTGCAACCAATATCATTAAGTTAATTTTAGAATTAAGACATATGAACAGAAAGCTAATTACTTAAAATACTCCATCTCTTCTCACCCATAGCCACTGGATAGTCAAAGTTCTCGGCAGCAGGATCCAAGTTGACAATATGGATAGTGCGCCGCGTGGTCTCACAATGTTGATGCAAACTAGAGCAGTAAGTGGACTGTAAAAGAAATATCAGTCTAGGTGAAACTAGCCATATCAAGGACATCTTTTTAGCAGGATTGGACATCCAAATATAAATCAAGGACAAATCCAATATAAAACATTATAGAAACGTGAAGCAATATGATCCAGCTATCACCTTTCCACTGCCTGCAGGGCCAATAACCAACTGTGCGTAGCCCATGATCACTGCCTTTTCTGTTCTTTTTACACGTTGCTCAAATCGAGAGGTCAACTGAGGATAGAGGTTCTGAGAAAATTGAAAATCTGAAAGAAGCCAAGAACTGCAACCAACATGTATGTTGCACCCCACACACCAGCCGCAAACAACAAGCTTAATATATCAGCTTGGCCCATAAGCATTATCACGAGAAAAGAAACATCACAATATCACCCGAACTACCCATAAATAAAGCCAAAAAAATGACTGTTGAAAGCAGCCAAAAAAAAAATTCCATGAAGTAGGCTCATAAAAGCCCCTACAAACGTAAAAATAGACAAAGTTATAATAAGCTAAAGCAACATCCTTATGATGGGAGTATCACGAATTATATCTTCAGATTTCTACTATATGCAACAACCATATCAACAAATCGAAGAACAGGCATTAGTCAACAGCACGACTCCAAACCCTCCCCCTTTTCCCCACACCCACTCATCCCACCACCCAAAACGATGAAAAGGCAAAATAAAATTTGTTCCTTTGAATTGGAAAATAAAGAGTCTATGGTTCTTGTTTTTCAATTGTTATATAGTTTTTGTTTGAATATAACAGCAAAGAAAGGGCGAAACTATTGTCGCCCACATATATTGCAGCAAAGTACGGAGTAAGTTTTTTACAACACAAAATAGTACTAACAGAGACAGAGAAGCATATATTATGGAAAAATCGAAAAGAAAAGCACAAAAGCCATGAACTTGCCCGTAGTTACAGAGGACGTAGATGGTTTCTCCTCCTATTTCTTCTCTCTTCCACCTAATAGGTAGTAGCCTCTTTTCTTTACCTTTTCTCTTCCGCGTCAAAAAGCTGCCTATATATATATTAGAGGTGCCAAAACAAGCCCAAAACCTCCAACCCGCCCAACTTTTAACGGGTTGGGCTTGTAAGATTTGCGAGAAATTAAAAAATAGCCAAATTTACAAGTGGTCATTCAAAAATAGCCCAGTTTTAGAAATAATCGAAATCTAGCCACTTTTTATGTAAAGATAAATCTGAGCGAAAACACTGTTCAAATCCCGAAAAATACGCCAGTATATTATGCTGGAGTTCCAGCATAAGTATACTTGAACTCCAGCATATTATACTGGAGTTCCAGGATAAGTATGCTGCAACTCCAGCATAATATGATGGAGTTCCAGCATAAGTACACTAGAACAACAACAACAACAACCCATTATAATCCCACTTAGTGGGGTCTGGGGAGGGTAGTATGTACGCAGACCTTACCCCTACCCTGGGGTAGAGAGGCTGTTTCCAAATAGACCCCCGGCATCCTTCCTTCCAAGAACTTCCCACCTTGCTCTTGGGGAGACTCGAACTCACAACCTCTTGGTTGGAACTCCAGCATAATATACTGGAGTTCCAGCAAAGTATACCGGTCCAGTATAATATGCTGGAAGTTCATACACAAGTGCTCGAATCTCTTGAATATTATGCTGGAACTTTCCGTATGTTGGAGTTCCAGCAAAATATGCTGGAAGTTCATACACAGGTGCACCGAACTCCAGTATATTATTACAGCATAGAACGACAAATTCATGAGAGTAGAATTGAACGAAGAAATGAAATTAAAGCATTTACAGAACTAATTTCTAATAAACAGTAAATCCTCCTCCTTTCTATTGGCATGGACAGGCAGTGTAGTCATTTTGGTAAATGTAATGGAATTTAAGTGGTATGTTACAATTTAGCGTCAAGTTAGTAAGCAAAGGTGCGCGACCAAATTAGGAGAGCACCTTGCGCTTCACAAATCAAGGCAATAAGATGTTTCATAAGAACTTAAAACCATTTTAAGCATGTATCGCCAAACTCTACAGAGAATCAACGTGGACCAATGAATTAAACAGAGTTATGAAAAGGTGAAAAAGATAAGAATAAAAAAATAAAAATAAAATGAAGCGTAGTACTTCATCCTTTTACCAAAAACTGATTGGTCCTAACAAAACTTCACCAAATGAAAAGATAGATACAACATCCGGCAGATGAACAACAACCTCTCATTAGAGATGCAGAAGATAATGAACTTCAACAACTGCATTAACAAATAAATCTGGCATAGAGGTTCTTATATTGACCGTTTCACTAATGGCTTGGAGGAAGAACAATAAGATAATTAAGTATAAAGTATTCTCTTTTCTTCTTTACAAAGCATGTAATATTCTAAGAGAAGTTACAAGTTACCCATTCAAGGATCCAATTCCCTTTCTTTTGGTGATCATGTCTTTAAGATTCATAATATCAATAAAATTCTGCATTTTTTTATATGATCAGTCATCACGATTAACATCTCCGCAATAGTTTCCCGCACCTGTAGATTACTCTACTGGTGCAATAGAACAGAAGATGGCATCTTTCTTCAAAACCCACAAAATTGCACCTTGTATCCTTTATTTTATCTTTGTAATCAAGTTTATACATCCACTCATATTCCCCAAGATTGACTTTAGAAGATGCACGAAGATATACTTTTTTTTCCTTTTGTATATACCGAGAAGAAGAACAAGATCAGAAACTGTAGACAAAAACAAAGCCTGAAAGACCACAACTTGCAGAAGCATCAGGGAAGGCACTTTAGATATGACAAAGAAAACTAAAATTTTATAGAATCAGTGAAATAACTAAAGCATAAATAACGATATTTGAGGAAAGTTGCCTTCATAGACAATGCAACATTTGATAAAACTGGTTGGCGAAAGATACATAACCATAGTCAAACACCTATAGTACAGACGCTATAAATAACTCTAAGCACACAAAAACAGAAAAGCATGGAGAAAGAAAAAGCAGACAACAGAAGTACTTGGAACCATATCTTAGTGAATGAACAACAATAACAGAGCTAGGACAGAAAGAATCAGTCAAATTTAAGACGTAGCATGCAGCGGAAGAAATGAAACATACTTTTCTAAATGTTGCAACCATCATCACATATATATTTTAGCTGTCCGAAGAGAAAGCAAAAAATTTCAGAATAACACGTGCAAACATTATGCTGCAATAATGTAATCTGTTTTACCTATACTCAACATTCCAGTAAAAGTATATATTCTCCATCTTGTAATAGTATCTCAAGCATCAACATATACCATTAATTCCCTCTATGTTATGTATGGAAGATAAGGAGCTATAACATAAGCAGGAAAACTTTGTGGCAACAACAAATTTTGTAAATCATCATGTTTGTTGGTACAAAAAGAAAGCGTCGAAGTCGTTTATGAATCACAAAAGTGCTAGAAGTCTCGTTATATTAAGTATTAGGATTCTACTTTGACACTGAAATTAGAATTTTGAAATACTTCTATTATCATTGCTTCCTCCCAGATAGGTTGGGTACAAATATAGCAAATTTTTCACTTTCCCAAACACATTTGCTTATTTTAAGTAAAGACTAAAGAATGAAAGGATATATAACTGGAATAACAAAGTAAAAGAAAAGCAAAAGCCATTAGAGATGGACTTTATATATACATATATATATATATATGTGTGTGTCTGTGTGTGTGTGTGTGTGTGTCTGTGTCTGTGTATAGGTATTGTTATTAAAATGTTTTATTAAGTACAGGACCCAATCTTCTAATTGCAAGAATGAAACTTCATAATTTTTATAGATAATTCAGTTTGTAGTAAGTAGCCCAAAAGAAGTTCCATTATAACAAAGTTGTGCGACAGAGTAAGGTTCAATATTGGAAGAATTAACACTTAATAAACACTCACAGTCGTTCCAGTTTATTTGATGCTTCAACAGACTTGAAACGAGAAGGAAGAGTAGAGGACCTCAGTTTTAACTTCCCATGTTAATTCAAATTAGCCAAACAAAGCTACATGAAGTTTTTATCCATATTAAACTTCCTGGAACATAGTCAGTTGGATGAAGTTATCTACTTATAGGTTATTTTAGTTTCTACTAACTGAACAGCGGTGGTCCTCCGTTTGTATTATATAAAAGTTACACGAACTTTTAACAATATAACCTAAGTTTGGAAAAATTCAAGTTTGGATCCTATAATAATATAGGGGAAAGAAAGATGTACCTCAGCAGGATCAATAGTAGTATTGTACTTCTTTATAAAAGGCGAACGTGATTCTTCATTGAACTGAAAAATAGGCAGCCAATATCATAAAAAGTGGAAAGAACTACAGGAAGAAATAGGAAAAGCTTGCATCTATGTACAAGGGAAAGAACCTGAGATATTTTTTCCCCCAATATAAACTGAGAAAAACATTTAAAGGTAAATATTGATCTTGAATAGCCAATTTGCCATCTTATCTAAGCTTAAACCCACAAGGCTTTTACATAAGCACACTCTTTATTTAAGAGTCATATATGCCTTCAATATACAGAATCTCAACAATTAGTCTGCACAAAGATATTCATTAACCTTTGTATAAAAATACAAATAAAACTCATGTATTATTGGACACAACAGGGAAAAAATAGGTATTAAAAGGGGGAAAAAAAACTCTCAAATTGCTTGAAAAGGAATGCACACGGTTAGTCCTTTAAATCCCAGTTGGGGGGTTTAGGTAGCATTTTATTTCAACATTCTAAAAACTTAAAAAACTTTCAGAAGAGTAAAGAAACAAAAATATTCAAACACCTTTAAAAACAAAGGCTAATTGCTGAAGTGCGACCCCTGAGAGGCCATCACAGTCAACCCAGAAAAGAGTATAGCTAACACTTCCCTTAATTCAAAGGACTTTTGCTCAGGCAACAGAGTCCACAACCAGTCGCAGTTTGTTCCGGACAACCGCAGAGAATTAAAGACCAACAATTTACACAATTTCTATACAGCAGCCACCCGAAAATCAGATAATTAAGAAACCAGAACTCACCTTATAACTATACAATTAGGGTTGTCAAAACGGCGGGTCGGATCAATTTTGGGCGGGTCAAAATGGGTTTAGAAGTTACTTGGGCTAAGATGGGTTGGGTTAAATTTTGGGTCATAACCCAATCCACCCAACTCTTATTAAACTTTACTTAATATGTGTTATTTTCTTATAAATTATATAATTACTAAATTAGGCTTTTTTGCTTTTGTTATGGTCTCTGTTTTAAAAGGCAGAATTGGGACTCGCCCCGGAGCGGAGCACTCATAAAATGCCCCTGGGCTTATGCGTGGGGCTTAGTTCCGTGAGACTTACGCCTCGGTCATCGGGGCTTACGCCCCGGACACGCCCAACGCCCAGCGTACTGGGCTCGCCTAATAGAACTTTATGCAATTGTATGTAACTAACCTTGTAAATCTTCAAATTTTCTTAATAAGTCGTTGACTACTCAAAATTATTTTTTTCCTAAGTATAAATTATTAAGTTGGGAGTTTTGTCATATTAAAATAAAAATTATTGCACGTTATTCACTAAGACTACTATGATAGTTAATTTTAAATAAATCTTTCATTTAAAAAGTATTTATTTATTAACTATTGTTATGTCTTTACTATATAATAGTCCATAATTTTTTTTATAATTATTTTTCTAATTATTTTTTTTCACGTTTACGAGATACAATACTTATTAATTTAATAGCTCAGTATTAGCTAGTAACTATGTACAAATAATTAGTTATCATGGTATTGTATGGTGAATTATCTGTCACTTTATTAACTTGTTGAAACTTAAAAATGAATGATGCTTGAGAATCATATTTAAATTGTGAATTATATTTTTATAAAAATTCTCTTTCAAATAGAAAGCATATAAAATAAAAGGAGTATTTTAAGAAAAATATCAAATTATAATATCGAAATTCTTTCAAGATTCATTACTCCTTAAGAGATACATATAATATTTCGTATCGAATACATTACTTTTGATGTTTGAGTTGTAACGACATTGCAACTATTTGTTACGATATATGTCATACTTTTCGTATTATTCATAGTTGAATTATAATTTATTAATATTTTAAATATGTTATTTGTTATAATTCTGTGATTTTAATGTACTTTTTATAATTATTTTTTATTTTATATTATCTTAAAAATTCATGAAATTAGTAAAATTTAAAGATCCATGGGACTTACGCCCCATGTCTCAAGGCTTACGCTTCGCCTCGTCAGAGGTAAAACGCCTCACCTCACGCCCCCGCCTTTTAAAACATTGGTTATGGTCATATTTAAAATATTAAACAAAAAATAAAATTATTTCTAAGATATTTTGACAAACTTACTCATGGATTAACCTGGGTTAAAAATTAACCCAAATTTAAATGAGTTAAAATGGGTTGGGTCAAGATAAGTTAAGTTCAATAAATGAGCGGTTCAATAATCAACCCAACCTTGAGCGGGTTGGGCGGATCATTTGGGCTTGGGCCAAATTTGACAGCCCTATATGATCATAACGCACATAAACTGAGCAGGAAGGGAGAAGACTCAAAGAGGAAGGAGTTGAACATGAAAATCTGGAGAAAGAACCATTCAATTTTTAGGGTTGTGCCTGTGCGTGTGACAACCAGGGAAAACAGGGAATTTTAGACTAAGAGCCTGTTTGGATTGGCTTAAAAAAAGTAGCTTTTAAGCACAAGTGCTTAAAAGCACTTTTTAAGTGCTGGAGCTGGTTTTATAAATAAGCAGTTATGCGTTTGGATAAAAGTACTGGAGCTGAAAAAAAGTTGTTGAAATGTTTGGTAAACAAGTGCTGGTAAGCATTTTTTCTATTAAAATAACTGAAATATCCTTAAAGTTGTTAACACTATAAAGAAGCTTATTACTATAATATTTATTTCAAACTTATTAATATAAATATGAAATTAATATTTGAACTGATCACCTAAGATAATTTTTATGAATATAATTGTTGAACTCTTATTTTTCACTTCTTTCAACCATGTAAATTTTTTATTTATTTCTTGAAATTACAAGCTTACTGGGAAAACATATGAAATGACTACCATATTTTATTATTCTATTCCTTATTTGAGCTATGTAAAAATTTCTAATATTTAGGAAATCAAAATAAAATAAACTTGTACTTTTTAAAATTATTTGAAAATTGTACGTATAGTTAATAGAAATTACAATGCAACTAGAATTGTTGGTCGCACACGTTAAATTCTTAGGGAAAAAAATCAAATACAAGTACAATACTACAATCTATGTAAGAGATATTAAAGTTAAGTATGTTTAGCAAGCTTCGTTTGTTATGACTTTGCATGTATATCAATTTTATTAATTTATAATTTTTTTTATAAAGATTTTACAGATGATTATTATATAAATAAATGTTTAATCATTTTTATACTAATATTTAGGACTATTTTTCCTTCCTTTTAGGTTTAGGAGTCCTATTTCCTATCTCATGTTTTAATTATTTAGTAAAAAAACTTCATTAGGTAAATACGTATTCACCTTTCAGAGCAAAGCTAAACTTCAAAGTAAGTTCACGTTCTTACAAATTTTAAAAGTTTGAGTTGGATATTATAATTATTTTAAAAGTTTCTGAAGGACATTTTTGGAATAATAAATATTATTAGGGACAAGAGGGTAAAATACTTGGTCAAAGATAGTTGGCTTTTAAGCTAGAAAAAAAAAGTTGGGAACAACCAACTTGTGGCTTTTGGCTTTTTTAAGCCAGTTTTAACTTTTTTTAAGTTGTTTTCTTTTTTGCCAAACACTTTGACCAGCTTTTAAGCCAATCCAAACAGGCTCTAAAAGTCCGGGGGTATTTTGGTAACTTTAGATGCTTTAGGCCTGTTGTACTTCATGCTGCCTACTTGCTCATTTTTGGAGAAAAACATATACCCCACTTTAGCCACCTTTTCACGTGTCACTCAAGTTGCAGTCTTGTTAACAAGGCATTACCTTTTTACTTCTGATTGTTCTTTTTAGTTTTCTCCATTGTTTTCTTTTTAGTTTTCTCCATGATACTAGCTTATTAATACCGTTTTTAAGAAAAATTAATTTATTTTGAGAAATGTTTTTTCTTAAAAGTATTTTTTTCAAAAATATTTTTGGTGAGATTCAGTTTCTGTTTGGCTAACTAATTTGAAAAGTATTTCTAAGCAGCAATTGTTTGTTAACAGGTGTTTCTAATAGCCTGTTTGGCCAAGCTTCTTTTTGGCCAAAAGCACTTTTGGCCAAAAATTGAGGTGTTTTGCCAAGCTTTTTGAAGGAAAAAAAATGCTTTTGAGGAGAGGCGGAAAAAAGTAGCTTCTCTCCAAAAGCATTTTTTTGAGAAGCACTTTTGAGAAAAATACACTTAGAAGCAGTTTTTTAAAGCTTGGCCAAACACTAATTGCTGTTCAGAAGTGCTTTTCAAACTAATTAGCCAAACACAAACTGCTTCTCACCAAAAGTACTTTTGAGAAAAGCACTTTTGAAAAAAAGCACTTCTCAAAATAAGCTGATTTTTGTAGCTTGGTCAAACGGGCTATAAGTCTCTCAAAAGTGCTTCTCATGTCCGTGCACTTTCCGGAAATGACGGAAATATAATCCAGTGCCGCGAAGGCGATAATGTCTTACTATCAAAAAAGTACTTCTACTTTTTATCTGCTAAAGAAAACAAATTTTATACCAATTAAAGTAAAAAAGAAGAGATTTTGACTGATCCTTGACTTGAGTCAATGGATGTTTACTCTTTATAGTAATACTATACACGTATGCATGGAAGAATAATAGAATGAACAATTTTTAAATTTTTGTGTATACAAAACTCAAAAAAATACTAGATAAAATTATTCGCTATTCGTTTTATTTACTGTGAAGCGAAAAATATATTTACTATTAGGATACAAGGAAGAGAAGACTTTAGAGCTTAAAAGAGGCGAGCATATTTACTCCTTGCTGACAATAATATACTCCTTCCGTTTTATTTTATGTGAACTCATTTCCTTTTTAGTCCGTGCAAAAAAGAATGACCTCTTTCCCTATTTGGAAACAATTTACCTTTATGTAATGATTTATAGCCACACAAAATATATGTGCTTCATTTTTCGCCCGTTTTCAAAGCGGAAACAACTTAGGTTTATCTGAAATTACAATCAAGGCCCTTCTAAAATTTTAAAGTGATTATGCAATGTTATCTTTCTCAGTGAAACTTTTTTATTTATTTAATTTTCAGTCAAATCAGATTTTACATTGTTCTGTATTTTTATTGTTTTCTATAAACAATTATTCGAAACCAATTGTTCTCAAACCAAATTCAAATATAAAAGTGTCGTACTCATATGACTTGAGAAATCAAAACAATAGAAAATCCGCAAGCTACAAAATAAAATAATAAAAGAATTTTTTTATAGCCCGAATTTTGATGAGTAAGAAACTTATTCACATGGGTGTTTACACCAAATTAATAAAAACATGACACATATTTGCACATAAAATGCTATTGTTTAATACTCCCTCCATTTAAAAAAGATTATGCGCTTTCTTTGACCTACTATAAGTCTGAAATTTCTAGATAACACTTAACCAATTTATCAATAACTAAGCCTAAAACCAAAATTTAGATGCCAAAGCACAAATCTAAAGCCCAACTCAATTTAATTAGTTTAAATATGCAAACGACGATGAATTTCATGGATTATGAATTCTGTAAGATACATTTAATCAAACTTTTCAAACAATAATAAAACACAGCTTTAACCTTTGGCCTATACCTGTCCTTAGTTTCAAAAAAAATATAAAAAATGATTTGCTTTAACCTTTTACTATATGAACAAACCTTTTATTGAGTGACTCATTTTCAATTTTCCAATTGCACATCTTGTGAGATATCCATAAAAGGAAATGCTAATCTTGCTACCTAATCTAAGGTAGGATTAATCTCAAGGTTTCAAACTTGAACTTCAAATAAAAAGTGTTGAAACTTCGGACAGAAAACAC